GATACGCGAGGCGTCAGGAATTCTTCAAGTATCAGGAAGTTCGGGCTTCAGGGGGGTCGGCATTATCTGGACACCTGCAGCAAGTAAGACCAGCGGGCAAAATCAGCAAACACCTGATGTAGGCCCTTTGTTTTGCTCTTTCACTCTGTGCCCCCCCTCGTCCTTCCCCTCCTTTTGTTGCCCTTCTTTTTTTGCGGTGTTTTTTCCCGCCGCGGTCCCCTTGTGTTGCGGGCGGGAAGGGGTTTCGAGACAACGCCATCCATGACACCAGCCGTGCCTTCCACGGCGGAGCCGCCGACTGCGCCACGAACGCTGGATGGGGGTGAGCTTTGTTACCTTGTGCCCCCCCTCTCCCTCTTGCCCTCTTCCGCTGTTCATCCCCTCTTCCTTCCTTGCCCCTCCCTCTCGCCCGTCTCCTTCGTTTTCGTCTTCATTCTGGGGTCTTTCCCGGCGCAGCTGGGACGACTTTGTTTTGTGCCCCATCGACACGTTTTTTCCCGTTTCCCGCGCAGGGGGGATCGCAAAGGACTGCTTTGCATATGTGGTGCAAGCTTTCGTGTGCCAGCCGCGTGGCCGATGGAGCATTCTGCCTTGGACTCGGGCGCAACGTCTGCCTGTCCCTCCTCGGGAATGCTCTCGGCGGGGCGCGGCTGTCCCTGGGGCCCTCGGTTTGCCCCTGGGGGTGGCCCGTTTCGTTCGCATCTGGTGCCGAAGCAATCTGGTTCCCGCCGCCGCCAATAAACCTTCCCCGTACCTCCACCTCAAGGCACATGTGCCACCACTTCCAACTCCAAGCGCCAAGCCCCATTTACCAAAGTTATCCTCCAAAACCGCTGGCGATGACGGGGACGTTGCGCGGGCGCTTGCCTGCGAGACCTCGAGCGCGGGCGGGTCTAAGTTCAACCGACGGTTGACGTCAGACCCAAATCAACTTGGTCCCAGAAGCTCGGACCCAGCTGAACTTGGACCCAGCTGGTCTCGAACCCGCTGAATTCGGACCCGGCTGGTCTTGGACCCAACTGAACTGGGACCCAACTGAACTCGGACCTGGCTGATCCCGGACACGGCTGATCTCGGACGTCGTTGAACTCGGACCAGGTTGCCTCGGACACAACCGTTCCCGCCACAGTGCGCGCCTTTGTCTGCAAAGTTCACTTGGATCTGGGTTCAGCTGGGTCCGAGATCAGCTGGGTCCGAGTTCAGTTGAGTCGAGTTCAGCTGGGTCCGAGTTCAGCTGGATCCGAGTCTTCTGGGTCCGAGTTCTGCTTGGGCCCGAGTTCAGCTGGGTCCGAATTTAGCCCGGGTCCGAGTTCAGCTGGGTGCGAGTTCAGCTGGTGTCCCAGACACCCACCATACGCCCGAAGACAACCCAAAGAAGACCCCCGATGACCCCCGAACGGCTTTCAAAACGCTGAAAACATTGATTTCCCCAGGTTCTTGCATGATTTGGAAACGCCATCCCTGATCTTCAATCATCTGGGCGTCCGGGACCGCCTGGGAGGCTCAAAACTCGCCCCAAAACCATCGGAAATGGCTTCCAGGCAATCCAAGAGACCCCCAATAAACAAAGTTTCCAGACGGCCTAGGGGGGGCCATGACTGGCCTAAACAAGGTTTCCTGGCGCCCTCCGAAACATTCCAAATCGTGGCCCGGTCGTTCAGGGGGGCCGCGGCTGGAGGCAGGGTAGCCTGAGAAGCCCGTCGAGGCCCCAGACAACGCCGAGGAGGCCTCCTGAAAGCCGGGAAAAAATCCGCGAGACCCCGGAATGCTCTCCGAGGAGTAGCCCCCGTTAGAAGAGCTGAGAAGGGGGCGGGGAAGAATTAGCGGGGCAGGGCGAGGACGACGAAAAAGAAGCATAGAGGAAGGATGACGAACGACATTCTTATAACGGCGATGGCGGAAAAGGCAACGAGGAGTCATCGCTCAACTGTCTGCTTGACCTTCCTGCCATTCCGCCTGCACACCGAACTTCAAGGACCGAGGTGCGCGGCGTGAAGCGCCGATGCAATCTTGGGTGTATATATACATACATACATACATACATACATACATACATACATACATACACACACATACATACATACATATACATGTGCGCATGCACGTGTAGTCAAACGTGCGCATAAACATATGTCGTCTGTACAAGTGTGTATGTACCTATGTAATTTGTGCAGACGCGTTCACGCGTATATGTACACATGCGCACATGCTACGCGTATACGCGAATGCACGCAAACAGCCGCGTGCGATTCAGGATGCTGCGCTGGCGTGGACGGCGGATGCTCTGCCGTAGGCGATCGGATGGCCGGGGCGCGACCACTGCCTCGGCGCGTGCGCGAGGTGTCCGCGCCACGCGACTTGGGTGCGACTGCCGAAGCAGCGCGCCGAAGTCGTGCGGCACGAACACCTCGCGCACGTACCGAGGCAGCGGCTGCGCGGGTGGACCGACGAGGCCGCCGTACCACGTGACGACCAACGGCACGTCCGCGGCACGGCAGCACTCCGACGTCCACCTCTCCCGGCACAAGACCGCCCGGAAGCCGGCGACCCGGCCCTCGAGTGACGCGCCATGCCCCAAGCGCATTGCCCTTGAGTACATGGATCGCCACTCGAAGGCCAGCGCCTGCCGGTCAGTCTGGAAACCAGTCACCGAGCAGAGCAGCCTCCAAGGGCGCCCCGCCCGGGTGGCCCTCGCGCCGCCAGGGAGTCCGCCGTTGTGTTGCTGCAGCCGCCTCGGGAGGTCCCTGGTGGAGTAATAATTTTGTTCGCGCAAGCCAGCACCGGTGGCCCCGACGCGGGGGGCGGGGGGTGGAACGAAACCCCTTGAGGTACAAGGGGCCCCTGTCCCCGAGAGGTTCCCCAGCCCTCCCGCCCCTGCTGTCCGTGGGGGTTGGACGAGCGGGGCGGCCACGATGAAGACGAAAATGACATGGATGAGGGCGGCGAAGGGGAAGAAGAGGAGGGAGAAGAGGAGGAAGGGGGATAAGGACGAGGAGGAGGAGGAACAGGAAAATGCGGCGCATGCGGACGGAAGGGGATGCACTGGATGACGAGGATTGCGAGGATGATTTGTTGGGGGGAAGGGGAGGCGAATCGATGGAAGATGTGGTAAGGGGCGGGATTGTTCTCGTTGGCCTTGTTAAAATATGCCACTGAAGCAAGCATCCAGTGATTTACGGCTTGGGACAGACTGCCACCAAACAAGTCGGACATAACACACAAACCTACGGCAAGAACGCACGCGCGAAATGAAAACGGACAACAAACACGGAACACACCGGGCGGCAAGCAAGAGACAACAGAAAAGCACCATACGCACGAGGAGGCAAACAGGAGACAACAGAAGAAATCGCTAGCTAACAAAACAAACCGAAGGCGAGACGAGGTAGCAGAAGGTGCAGAGCAGCAGCGGAGAACGGACGGGCCGAGACTGCTGACATCAAAACGAATGCCAACATAACATCCTGAAGAGCGAGAGCGCGTGGGAGCGGAAGCCAGCAGCGTGAAATGGGAGAGCGAGCAGCTGCGCTGTGTATTACCCCATCGAGGCCTGGACGGCCAAGCATATGACGGATTCTGGAAACCCTGAACCAAACAACACTGCCATCTCTTAGGGGGCTCATTGCTTACTTTCGCCGCCTTCCGCGGCCCTTCCGCCGGCGGATCCACTCTGGTTTTGCTTCCGTCCGTAGCGCACTACCCCCAACGATCAATCGTCACAGGAGGTCTCGTGTGCGACTCTAAACTATGGTGTGGACGGCGCTGGTATAGGCACTATGCTAGACCAGAAGCCCGACGAAGAGCGAGTCAAGGCAGGTGGGTATCTTCGTGCCCCAGCCCCGCCCCTACGCGCCCTCCAGGAGGGCGGCACTGTAAGGGCAGCCCCCCGCCCCTGAGGAGGGCGGGGACCACAGCCTCCACACCAGAAAAGCATTCTGACCAAACGCGTATGGGAAATCCTCTGACCACTACCGAGCACAGCAGAAAGAGAGAGAGAGAGACAGAAAACGAACAGCAGAGAAAGAGAGAGAGAGAGAGAGAAAAAAAAGGGAGACTGAACACGAAAGACACAAGACGGGGCAGGATACAATCACACGGAATGCGTATCATCGAGGCCCTGTAGTGCACAGAACGACTACGAAGAAATTCATGCCGGGAGAGCCGTGGCAAAATTGGCGAAATGGTCCGCATCCCATGCTTCACAATCCTCTAGGGCCTCCAGGGGGCAGTTCGACGAAACATATCCGTAGGGGGCGCTGCCGCAGATGCGGGGCGGGGGCGGGGGAGGGGAGGGGAGGGGGAGACGCCAAGAGGGGGGGGAAGGAAGGCGGAGGGCGCAGGCTCAGAAGCGAAAGACTCGGGAGAACATGCGGGGGAAGTCGCCAACGAGGCATTCAGGCTCGCCGGCCTTCGGCTCCTGATCCAAACCGTCAGCCGACGAGAAGGGACTGGAGGCAGGCATCTCACATGCTGGGCGAGAGGATCGCAGTGCATGGACGAGGTATCGGCGGTGTCTGAGGGCCGCACCACATCGGCGTATCAACGATACATCACCGACGTCAGGATGCGACGCATCGAGCTTGCATCGGGTTTCGGAACGCGCCACATCGCCGAGCCTCGTTTCTTCTCTCCATCGTCCCCCATACTTCGTTACCCCTCTCCACCTCCTCCTCTTCCTTGTTCCCCCCTCCATTTTCTCTCAATCCCCTCCTCCTCCCTGCCCCCCCACCTTTTTTTTCTCCTCCGCCTACTCCTCCTTCCTTCTCCGCCCTTCATGCCCCTGATCCCTCGCTCTCGTCATCCTCCTCACCCGCCTTCTCGACTCCTCTTCCACCTACACTTCCTCCTCTTCTCTCTTTTTCCACCCCGCTTCATATCCTTTTTCAAATGCTCCTCCTCCTCCTCCTCCTTTTCCTCCTCCTCCTCCTCCTCCTCCTCCTCCTCCTCCTCCTCCTACTGCCACCGTCATTGCTCCCTTCCTCCCTTCCTCCTGCTTTGTCCTCCCTTCCTTCTCCTGTGGACGTGGTGTGGCAGACCTTTGAATTAGTAGAAAAAATAACCTGATAGCCACGGACCCCGACCTTGGAGCACCAGTGGGCAGGACTTGTGCGAAAGAGACAAATCAGGGAAGGGATGCCAGCAATTCGCCCCGCGTTTTGCACGGGCTTGAGCCGCACAGGGACGGCAACGATGATGTGGCACCGAATTCAAAGCAAGCCAGCTTGAGCGCCAATGCGCGGCAAATCAGAGCGCGAAAGCGGGCTGGTCACGATTTGCAGCGCGCCAAAGCGGTGCCCAATGCAACACCTGGCCGACAGCAACGCCGTAGCGCTCTGGAACAACCGAACAGCTCTACAACAACCGGGCTGAACAAGAATGATCAGACGTATCTCAAAACTGGCGCGCTGTAGTCGGGCTGAACAAGCATACATCGGCCCAATGAAAGTTCCTTGATTTTTCATCACGACGCTGGCCGGCGGAAGTCGACGGAAGTAAAACGAGGCGGAAGACGGGGGAAGGCCGTCGGAAGGCTTCCGGATGTCAGCGGAAGTAAACGACGCCCCTTCCGAACCCCCCTACCCCAGTAGAAGCCTAGCAGCGCAGTCTCCTTCCGTGGGCCGGGCGGGATCCCGCCTGGCTTATTCCGCTTTAATATTCTCAGTTTAGTTCAGGACGATTAAAATCCCACCCATTAAAAGTGTGGTAGAGTAAAATCCCGGGCCGTTCACGGATCCCGCCTTGCTGGGATCGGCTCGAAGTAAGGTGGGGGTCGTAAAATGCAATATCCTTGCCGTGTTGGGGCCGTCTTGAGGTCATCTTGAGATCATCCCCCGGTCGCGTTTGGATCACGCAGTCGTCGCATGGTCATTATGGGGCCACCTTGGGCGCGCTTGGATCCATCTTGTTGCCATCGGGCCATCTCGGCGTCACACGTTGCTCATGTGTTTCGTCATCTGCGAGTCGGCCTGAGACGGTCCAGAATCCATGGCGGGATCGTGTTGGGGTGGCATCATCCTGGAGTCGTCTGGACGTTATCGTCCGTGGCCTGAGGCCCTCCTGGAAGCATGTGGTGGCCATGGGGCGTCTGGGGATCGCGTGCGTGGGGGCGCTGAGCACGCGCGCGCGACTTTTCATCTTGCTGACGGGCATACATACATATTCTTCCGCTTGCGAGTTTCCAAGGAAACTTTTGTTGGAGCCAAGCCTGTCCGAGCCCTCGCATGTCCGTGCCCATTTTGGCTCCAGGTTCGCTGGCGGGGGCTGGGGAAGCATTGTATTTTGGGAGTGTACTTTGCTGCATGTCATCCGCCATCGACCTGGTGAAGCGCGCCTTGGTCAGCCCCCTTCGGACCCTTGCTGCGGCTTACGGCGTCGCGCTGACCTTGAAGAGGGACGCGCCAGACAAGGAGGTGAGCGGCGCCTACCGCAAGGTGTCCTTGAAGACCCACCCCGACCGCGGCGGCAAGGCAGAAGACCAGACCGCCCTCAACAACGCTCACGACGCCTGGGAGGCGGCCAAGAAGGCGAGGAAGCCTCGAGGACGCAAGCGCGACGGGAAGCAGCAGGACGAGTCAGGTGGAGCTCCTGTGCTGCCCGTGCGCCCTGAGGAAGACGCCCAAGGGGGGCGGAAGGGTTTTCGTTTCCAGTCCCAGGGCGCGCTGTTGACCTACCAACAATTTCCGGACTCCAGTTGCTGGAAGCGGTTCGTGACCTTCGTGAAGAGCCAGTTGGCCAGCTGGAAGGTTCGTTTCTGGTGTGCCACGCTTGAGACGAACCACGACGGGGGCCACCACTTGCACTTGATGTTGCAGTTCTTCCGTGCTCAGGACAGGAGCGCGTCTACCTTCGCTTTCGAGGGCGCCCGCCCGAACGGGGAGCCGAACGACCTGCTGGGCCAGGGGTGGGGCGGCAGGCGACTACAGAAGTCTCTAGGCCGGGGCTTCTTCTACGCGTGGGCGGCGAAGGAAGGCGCGGCGCGCCTGGGCGACGGAGAGCCGCGCGTCGCGGGGAACTACGAACCGGCCTGGGCGAAGACCACAGTGACCTACACTGTCAAGGCGAAGTGGCTGGGCGACTTACTCGGAGCACACAAGTTGTCGATGGGCGCGCACGAAGAGCACCTCTTCCTCTGCCAGGGCACCGGGACAGCGGGCACGAAGCGGAACCTGGACGCCCTTCGGGCGCGCCGCGAGAAAGCTGAGCTCCAGAAAGAGGTCGAGGAGAGAGCGAAGCGTCTTCGCGGCAACAAAGGCCTCTTCCAGGAGTTCAAGGAGGTGCCAGAGGCGCAGGCCTGGCTGAGGGTGTTCGAACAGGAGAAGACGAGGTACCCGATGTTGATTGTGATGGCACCGTCGCACACCGGCAACACAGAGTTCGCCAAGTCTATGTTTAAGAAGCCCTTCAAGATAGTGGTGGGTGTCCTGGCGCACTTCCTAAAGAAGATGCGCCAGTTTAGCCGAAAAGGTCTACGACGGCCTCGTCGTGGACGACTTCCAGGACCTCGCCTTCTTGTCAGACCACCAGGAGAAGCTCCAAGCCAACTAGAGTGTGGCGGAGTTCGGGTCGACGGCTCGCGGGACCTGCGCGTTCGAGCAAGACTTGTGGCGGGTCCCCGTCGTGGTCACGATAAACAAGAGCACGCGCAACCTGGACTTCCTGGCGACGCACGACTACCTGAACAAGACGGAGAACGTCCACTTCCTCGCCTTCAGCGGCCGGCCCGGAGACGCGCCTCTGCAGACCCGCTGGCCCGTGCAGGAGAGCTAGGCACGTAGACGGCTCCTGCGCACCCCTGCACCGCCACTGCTTTGGGAAAAAGACATCTCGGGATATCCAAACCGCATGCAAGCACCAGCCTGTTGGTTGGGGGGTCTAGCACCTAGGAGGAACCCTGCCTGCTTCTACGGGGGCCCGTCCACATCGTGTTTTACGTGTGTCCCGAGTCCGCATCCATTCGAGCCCTGGCCTTTTGTTTTTTTCCAAGCGCAACCTCGCCTGCCCGAGGTCGCGACTGCTGGCTGCCTCGACGGGGCTTGCGTTTTCCAGAGGGCGGGGCACTGCGGGGAGCCGACGCGGGCAGGGGGGGGCAGCGCGGCGCGGCGTGCAATGGAAGGTACGGCACGGCACGGCAACGCCAGGCGAGGCCACGCTAAACGGGACAGAGCAGGGCGAGAGGGGGCCCACGCACGGGGGCGCCGAGGCGCTAGCGCACGCACGCGCCCAGACGCAGGCAGACAGGCATCACCGACTGACGGTGGCACGCGCGCGCACGCACGGACGCGCGCGCGCCGGCGCGCACGGCGCAGTTTTCGGCTCAAGCTTCGGCGCCCGCTGCGCCGCGAACGCGGCGTCAGGCATACTACCGCCGTTTGTGGCTATGACAGTGGTCACTGAAGTTGTGCACCCCAATGGCTTGGACTTCCAACCAGCGGCGGGTTGTCATTCTACGAGACATGCGCAGGCCAGGTGGCAAGAAGCTCGCCTTCGCCAAGATCGCGAGCATGGTCCGCGCCCTGAAGGGCAAGCGCAGCACCGAGGACGTCGTCCGGCGCGTGTACAAGAGGTTCAGTGCGAAGAAGGGCCGCGTCTCCTACAAGTACCGCCGTTGCGGGAGGAAACCCTGGAAGGTGACGAAAGAGGTCGGGGCCTTCCTCATCGGGCGCCTGATGCAGCTGCGGAGGAAGACAGCGTGCACTTCAGCCACTTTGCATGCGGAGTTGTACAGGGAGAAGCACGTGAAAATGAGCGTGGAAGGGATACGCGTGCACTTGAGGCGCAGAGGTTTCAAGTGGAAGCTCCGCTCTCAGAGGCCGATGCACAACGCCGAGCAGCGAGCCAAGAGGAAGGCCTTCGCGGCGCGGTTCAAGGACATGAGCCAGGCGGCACTCTCCAAGCATATCACTGTCGCCATGGATAGCGCAGTCCTGACTGTTCCACCGCGTGACGAGACGGATAGGCTGAACTTCTGCATGCAGGGTGGACCCCACATGTGGCGCCGCGACAGTGAGGCGGCGGCGCCAGAGTTGGCAGGTGCCGACGATTGCTTGGACCAGGTCCCGAAATCCCGCGCCGTTCCCCTTCTGGTGGGCGATTTCACCAAAAGGATTCCATGAAATTACGCACCATCAGAATCGGAAGTTGAAGAGGGATGAGTGGCTGCGCGAGGTGCAGGCCGGGAAGCTGTTCGCGGCCGCGAAGAAGGTGCAGCCCGGGAAGCACGAGGGCCCACGGCGGCTGCTGTGCGACAACGAAAGCTTCATGGGCGGCAAGGATTGCACGAAGGAGCACAAGAAAAAGAAGAAGAAGATCCAGCTGCTCAACATCCCCGCGAGGTCTCCCGAGTTCAACCCCATCGAGTCCTTCTGGGGCTAGCTGCGCCAGGCGATGCGCCGCAGGGACCTCGAGGACCCGAGGAACAAGCGGCTCGGTTTGGGAAAGACCGCTTGGACGGTCAGACTCAAGAGGTTGCTCAAAACTCAGAAGGCGCAGACTGTCGCCAAGCGGAAGTTTCAGAACTTTAAGAAAGTACGCAAAGTCGTTTACCGGAGGAAGGGGGCGCGCTCGGGCCTCTGACGCGCGTTGGCCACGACGCCAACTTGTCCCACTGCCGAACTGAATTGTCACCCCTGTCGCGCGGGATGTAAAAATCGACGCATCGGCCCAATGAGAGTTCCTTGAATGTTCATCGCAACTCTGGCCGGCGGAAGTCGACGGAAGTAAAACGAGTCGGAAGGCTTGAGGATGTCAGCGCAAGTAAACGACGCCCGAACCCCCCTATGCCCGTAGAAGCCTAGCAACGTAGTCTTCTTCGATGGGCCGGGCGGGATCCCGCCTGGCTTATTCGCTTTAATATTCTAATTTTTTTAATTCAGGACGATGAAAATCCCACCCATTGAAAACGGGGTAAAATAAAATCCTGGGCCGTTCACGCATCCCGCCATGCTGGGATCGGCTCGAAGTAAGGTGGGGGTCATAAGTTGCAGTATCCTTGCCGGGTTGGGGCCGCCCCGAGGTCATCTTGAGATCATCTCCCGGTCGCGTTTGGATCACGCAGTCGTCGCATGGTCATTCTGGGGCCACTTTGGGCGCGCTTGGATCAATGTTGTTGCCAGCGGGCCATCTCGGCATCGCAGTTGTTCATGTGTTGCGCGTCATCTGCGAGTCGGCCTGAGACGGTCCAGAATCCATGGCGGGATCGTGTTGGGGTGGCATTATCCTGGGGTCGTCTGGGCGTTATCGTCCGTGGCCTGAGGCCCTCCTGGAAGCATGTGGTGGCCATGGGGCGTCTGGGGATCGCGTGCGCGGGGGCGCTGAGCACGCGCGCGAGACTTTTCATCTTGCTGACGGGCATGCGTACATATTCTTCCGCTTGCGAGTTCCCCAGGAAAGTTTTGTTGGAGCCAAGCCTGTCCGAGCCCTCGCATGTTCGTGCCCATGTTGGCTCCAGGT